CTGGGGGACCCTGGTGGGTCAGGAGGAGCCCAGGTGGGACTGCGGGGAATGACGGGCCCCAGCTCGGAGCAGGGGACCCGGCTGTTGGCACCAGAGCCCTGGGGAAAGTGACCGCGGGGCCGGGCACCTGCTCCGAGTGGCTCGTCCCAGGGGCTGGCTCGGAGCAGAGAGGGGCTTTGTAAAGCAGGGCCTGGCGGGGCCCAGAGGGGCTGGCAGAGGCTGGGGTGGCCGATCTGCCGCGCACGGCCAAGTGCTGGTTCTCCCGACTGTCTGTGCCACAGCCTCCCCTGAGCCGCCTGCATGGGGACACCCAGGCTGGGAATATCTGRAGCACTTTTGCCAGGGCCCAGACATCTCTGGCAGCATCCGCAGCAGTTCCAGGCTCGCTCCGGGGCTGCAGGCTCTCCTTGAGCCTTGGGAAAGGCCTTGGCAGCCAAAATACTTTGGCCTCMTGCCTGAGGGGCTCCCTGGAGCGGGACGTGCACCCAGGCCAGGCTCCCATCCCCAGACACCGTGGGCTGTTGCCTTTTTGGGTGACAGCAGCCCTGCTGCCTGGAGGGGAGAGGCAGCGCCCCCCTTGCCACTGCCCTGAGCTGCCAACAGGGTCCTCGGAGCCCCCGGGCGCCTCACAGCCGTTGCCACCCCCATGTGACAGGCGGTGACCAGCAGGACGGGCCCCCCTCGCTGCTGCTGCCACAAGGGCGATGGCAGCTTGGGGACCTCGCTGCCCCAGAGCGACGTGAGCGCAGGGGACCCCCCTCCCACGAGGTGAGCGGGCTGGGGACCCCCTCCCTCCCTGCAGTGCCTAAACCGGGGGGTGACCCCTCTCCTCCCGCCGTGACGCGCTGCGGCGGGGGCGGGGGGGAATCCCCTTCTTCCCGGCGATGACGTAGCCGGGGGACCCCCTCCCCTTCCCAAACCGCGCAGGCCACGTGGCCACCAGGCGGCGCCGGAGCGCGCGCGGCGCGAGGGGGCGTGTCCAGAGCGCGGCGCCGCTGCCCATTGGCGGGCGC